ACCACTGGCAAAATCACAAGATGGACATATATCTGCAGTAAACATTTCATAGGTGGGAATGGATTGACAACAGATCATCCCAACCCTATCCCTGCAACACTTACACCAAATCAGGTTCATCATTTACATCTATTTAGAAACTAGAACATGTTCGATTAACATCAGGGGTGGGGGATGTTTTTAACCAATAGATGTACTAGTAACACAAAACCTTTCAGTTCTATAACATGGGCGGATCCAAGAATGAAATGGAGGGGGTCTAGAAAAAAATATATATTAAATAAATAAAGTACACTAGAGTTTAAAACTTAAAAAATTACACATAATGGATCTTTTCCTGCTAAAACAAATGGACATTTTATCTCAACTGCACGTCCAATTAGTCTGTTGTTTTGACAAGGCCATCAGGACTATATCCAAGTTCTGGATACAGAGTATTCATCCAAAATCTACCATTTTGTAATGTAACATCCCTTTCAGTATTTTGAGCCGTGTACTCTTGAAAAGCTTTCTCTTCATTTTGTCTTCCATATTTTAAACTTTATTTTTTTAACTTTTTGCCCCATACAATTCTGTGCAGCAGATTATATTTCCCCCTTTTACTGTGGACATATTTTGGTAAAGAAGTTATTCCACAGAATCTGCTACTGTGTAATATTTCTGACTCTGATCTTGTGTATTTGGTACTTCAAAGGGGACTGTGTTTTTGACAAACTGCATTAGCTATAAGGCAGACTTAGTTCTATCCTTTAATAACTACCTCCATGACAACTTCATGATCAGGGTGGTCTATCTCTATAATGGATCATAGTTTCTAAATCTCTGCCTTTGATTTCTTGCTGTATGATGCTGAATGGCATGGCTGTTGTTTAGACTTCTTCCCAACATTCCATGCACAAAGTTTGCTGGTAGATGCATATGGCTTATATCCAAACTAAAGAGTATAAGGCAAAAAGGAATGAAGCAATATGATTGCATCTGCCCACAGAGGAAGTTTTACAGTTGCAAAATGCATCCTTTACTTTTCCTCAGTGTTGCTCAAAACACTAATAAATGTTAAACAACTTGCTGCATGTATGATGCCATTACTGATGATTTTATTCTGTGATGAATAATCAAACTTTTAACAAACTGACTCAAAATTCAGGAATTATAATCACCAAACCTATACATATATAAAACAAAATGAACATCAACTACTATCTTCAAACAAAACCCCTGATGATGCAGTTAATTTAACAATCACTTTATGTTGTTGTTGTTGTTGTTGTTGTTGTTGTTGTAATGGTGGAGGAAGAACCCTGGAAAACCCAGGGAAGAATCACCGACCCACAAGAAGCTACTGGCAGGCTTTCTCACTTACCCACCTTAGCTGTTTATCACTTTATGGAAACCAGATCCATGACTTTACTCATCATATAAAATACCATGTTCTACACTGAAGTATACAATGTATACAATGTTATAAGTTCTACACTGAGTATACAATGCCAAAGAATCCTGCCAAGTCATAAAGGATATCTCTAGCAGTGTTAACAGCACAAAATCATGACATTTTCACACAAGTTCAGTACATGTTCCGAAAAATAGATCAGTCATAGCAATAGAGTGCAATTTTTTCTGCCTCTATGTACCTGTCCTGGCTGCTGTTTTTTTATTGAAATACTTGTAAAAAAAACTGAATAGTGATAAACACATTGGATTCCTAGAATGATTCAAGATATTGTTAGGTTCCAAGATCAATGCTATCAGACCATGGATTATAAACATATTCCTGCTCTTTAAGCAAGTTCAAAAGGTATTTCCTTGGCATTGCTTACCTTAAAAAACAATACTGCATTTGATTTTAAAAAATTAAAATATTATATATATATATATATATATATATATATATATATATATATATATATATATATATATATATATACACACACACACACACACACACACACATATACAGAAAAAGAAATACAGACACGTGTTTTCCTGATATTTGACCATACAGTCAATGGAGTATTTTCCCTGATACACAAGTTATTCTTTGTAAATTTATAATTTATCTTGGCAACCAATTATCAGGTCAAAATCCACATCCCCCAATGAGTCTGGATAACATGTAAACCAAATGTAAATCTACAAAGCCAAGGGAGATTTATTGCTGACCACTAAAAAAAATGACTAGTGTTACTGTTAATCTCAAAAATTTTCAATAATTTTGTAGTTAATAATAGAACATTCCCTGCAGTAAAAAGAATTACCGTATACACTCACTTTCAAGTCCATTCAGGCTGCAAAGAACAAACTTCCTTATCTGCCCAAGCCTAATTCATCTGCAGATCAGAGTCTATGTTGTTTGTTTGTTCCACTGATTATTCCTAACAAACTGCACAGACCTAGACCTATCGGCTCAAATCGGGTTCTGTGCAATTTGTTGTTGGACTCATTCTTAATGTGAGTATATATGGTAGTTAATCAAGAAATCTCCTGCATCTTCAACAGTCCTTCTGCACTAGCTCACTTGCAACAAATGCAACTCTGCTATGGAAATTATGAAAGCAATGTGTCTGCAACCCTTGGGCTACCAGACTACTGCTAATTTTGAGCCTGGTAATTTAAACTTGTAGCCAATTTTGAAATACAATAAAGGCTAAGATTAAGTGAATGCAATTTACAGTGCCTTAGAACCAAATCAGGTCATTTATAGGATATTTTAAGCCAATGGTTCACTTAAGATCACAAAATCTTGACAATTTTACACATTTTCAGCAGCTGAACCAAAAAGGGATCTGCCACAGTAATACTGTAAAACACATTCCTGCCACTGCAATATTTCTACTCCAATGTACCTATATATATCGTATGAATAGAGACTGTTCTTCAAATCCACTGTGTTAAAAGTAACTTCAGAAAAAATGTAAGACACCAATGGGACCATTGATGTACAATTAATATAGCAAAATCAACCGATTTTGTGATTGTGTTATAACAAAAACAATAAAAAAAATAAAAGTTAAACAATCTTATAATACTGATCAATGTAAAAAGTCATATTTGCTTTTCACAAATAATTATAGTACAAATTAGACGGCCATGCAAACAAACAACCATCGAAGATTGTGGTACACATATGAAGACCATCCAAATGAATAATTATCAAAGATTTTGGTACATAAAAGAGAATCATCCAAATAAATAGTCATCAATGATTATAGTACACACTAGAGGGCCATCCAAATGTATAATCCTCAAAGATTATGGTACACATTATAGGACCATCCAAATTAATAATCATCAAAGATTATGGTAAACATTAGAGGACCATCCAAATGAATAATCATCAAAGATTATGGTACACATTATAGGACCATCCAAATGAATACTCATCAAAGATTATGGTAAACATTAGAGGACCATCCAAATGAATAATCATCAAAGATTATGGTAAACATTAGAGGACCATCCAAATGAATAATCATCAAAGATTATGGTACACATTATAGGACCATCCAAATAAATAATCATTCTAGATTATGGTAAACATTATAGGACCATCCAAATGAATAATCATCAAAGATTATGGTACACATTGTAGGACCATCCAAATGAATAAACATCAAAGATAATGGTACACATTATAGGACCATCCAAATGAATAAACATCAAAGATAATGGTAAACATTATAGGACCATCCAAATAAATAATCATTCTAGATTATGGTAAACATTAGAGGCACATCCAAATGAATAATCATCAAAGATAATGGTACACATTATAGGACCATCCAAATGAATAAACATCAAAGATAATGGTACACATTATAGGACCATCAAAATAAATAATCATTCTAGATTATGGTCAACATTAGAGGACCATCCAAATGAATAAACATCAAAGATTGTGGTACACATTAGATAACCATCAAAATGAATAATCATCAAAGATTATGGTACACATTAGCGGACCATCCAAATGAATAATCATCAAAGATTATGGTACACATTAGCGGACCATCCAAATGAATAATCATCAAAGATTATGGTACACATTAGCGGACCATCCAAATGAATAATCATCAAAGATTATGGTACACATTATAGGACCATCCAAATGAATAAACATCAAAGATAATGGTACACATTATAGGACCATCCAAATGAATAAACATCAAAGATAATGGTAAACATTATAGGACCATCCAAATAAATAATCATTCTAGATTATGGTAAACATTAGAGGCACATCCAAATGAATAATCATCAAAGATAATGGTACACATTATAGGACCATCCAAATGAATAAACATCAAAGATAATGGTACACATTATAGGACCATCCAAATAAATAATCATTCTAGATTATGGTCAACATTAGAGGACCATCCAAATGAATAAACATCAAAGATTGTGGTACACATTAGATAACCATCAAAATGAATAATCATCAAAGATTATGGTACACATTAGTGGACCATCCAAATGAATAATCATCAAAGATTATGGTACACATTAGCGGACCATCCAAATGAATAATCATCAGCTTTAAAGACTTAAGTTGACCATTTAATTTTCCTATTTTGTCGTGCAGTTTTACTGGGTTATTATTCGTAATTCAGATAATTTAAATTTAATGTCCACCAAAGCTGACATGCATGTCAAGGATTTCTTTCCAATATGTTACTGAAACATGAACTGTCTCATTACATCTCTATGATACAATGACATTTTTACTTTTGTTGTGTTATTCTTACAGAGTGATGTGATGAGATTATTATTTTTAATGTAGCTTTAACAATTTTTCAGTTATATCCCTAGCTATGATGCCTGCAGTGTGGCAGTTTATAGTGATACCTAGTACTGGGGCATCATGCCACAGACATTTAGCATGATATCCCACCCAGTCACATTATCCTGACACCAGGCCTACCAGTCCTAACACTAACCTCCTAATGCTGAGCATCAAATGAGGCAGCTGTTAGTACCATTTTTGTAAGTCTTTGGTATGACTCGCCCTGGGATTGAACCCACGACCTCCTGCATCCGAGGCTGAAACTTTAATCACTAAGCCACCGGAGTGGTTAATCTTACAGAGAAGTTATCATTATTCATATTGTTGTGTTTATCAGAAGAAATATGATGTCAAACACACACTTTATTACTCTATTAAAATGTACAGAATTGTTTAGGTGTGAGCCATTTGATTTATCTGCAATGTGTATGTGCCTAATTAATTTTTATTCTGTACAAGCATGAGCCACTTGATTTATGATCAATGTGTATTTACTTTTATTATCAATTTATCATCCTTATATAAAAAAAGTTTTTTTATACCTGAGATCTAATGAGTACACAACATTGTACAAAAAAAATCAACTAATTTTTTGGAATGAGCAGTGGCTAAACAATCAGCTCCATCATTTAAAAATGTTTCCACACCAATTTCAAACAATATCAGGCATACAAAAATGTGTATTTCTGATCAGCCAACCATCATTGTTTCTCATTGCCAACATAGCACATTTTCTCCCACCACTTACCCCCATCCTCCACGCCGCATGGTTAAAAAAACAAATCACAATGAATCACATTAAAATGTTTATGGAAAAGAAGCCTGCCTACCCTAATTTTAAATGCACTGCAATATGAAACACATTTATGGGTATTTTTGAAGGGGGCTCATGTAGACTAAAATTGTTCACCAATTTATACCTATTTATATGACATGTATTTCAATCTTCACTACACACAATTCCATACAGAAATGGTTGTTTACACAGATGTAGTGGGCTGAGCATTACATCTGAAGGGGTGGGAAACATGTTAATCACAAGATACCATAACTGTTTCCAAATAACATGCTAGATATAAACAGTTACTTTTTCCACATCAGAGAAAGAGTATATTTTTTTCAAGCAATCTGTGAACTGAAACTTTCTTTCTTCACAAAATAACCCAGGTCAATGACCTACCCACTCAGTCCACCAAAACTTAAATGGTTGATCCCTGTGGCAAGAAAGATGTACATCCATTTTGTCTGCATATTATAACGTTACTTAATCATAACAACCTCAATTTCAACACAATAAAACTATGGAATGTCCTTAACATTCTACAAGAATTTTTTATTCTCAAAAAACTTTATCAATATTATCACTCTGTTGTTAACTGTAAGTAAAATAAGACAGCTTTGTGTTCTTTGGGGGGGGGATCACAAACATTTCTGTGCAGAAATACAAATTTTCTGTGACATCAAATTCTGTAGCAGCCTGATCAATGTGTGGATTTTTAACATAACCTTAACAATTTTTCAGTCATACTGCCACAAAGTCTGCAGTGTGGCAATTTATAGTGATGTCTAGCACTGGGGCATCATGACACAGACATATAGCATGATGTCCCACCCAGTCATAATATCCTGACACCTGGCCTGACACTAACAGTCCTAACCTCTTAATGCAAAGTGCTTAGTAAGGAAGCTGTTAGTAACATTTTTATAAGTTTTTGGTATGACTTGACCAGGGTTTAAACCTGTGACGTACCACATCCATGGCAGATGCTCTAACCACTAGGCCAACTGACAAATCAAAATTGCTGTTTGTAGATCTATTTATAAATACTGGATATAATGATTGTGATGAAATCACTTTATATGGTTGCCAACTGACCATCATGTATGTGTATTTTTTTCCTCCAAGGGTGAAAGAGTAATCCAAGGAAATGACAAAAAACGTTAGTGTGTTATTCCAACATCAAACACAGCATTCCTGTTTAACTTGCTTGTAAAGCCTGACAGAAGCAAGACAGTAACTGCTCAGTTTTACAGAATCAACTCCAGTGACATCATGTAAACCAAATGCATGGCTTGTCATGCCATGTTTAGGGCTCAGCAAATGGACAAATACATCTCACTTCCAACACCAACTGCCACTGCAGTATATCAGTAGTATTCAAATGTAATAAGTCCACTTGTAATCATGCATTAGTGCTCAATTATACTAAAAGAGGTAAGCAGTTTTGCTTGTGCTCAATCCTGTATGTTTGATGCATTGCATATGTTATGTGATGTGATTAAGATTTTTAACATAGCTTTAACAAGTTTTCAGTCATATCACTATGATGTCTGTAGTGTGGCAGTTTAAAGTGATGTCTAGCACTGGGGCATCATACCACAGACATGAAGCATGATGTCCCACCCAGTCACATTATCCTGACACAAGGCCGATCCAGTCCTAGCACTAACCTTTTAATGTTGAGCATCAAGTGAGGCAGCTGTAAGAACCATTTTTGTAAGTCTTTGGTATGACTCAGCTGAAGATTGAACCCATAACCTTACGTATCTGAGGCAGATGCTCTAACCACTAAGCCACTGGAGCGGTGATGTATTGCATGTTAATTGATACAAATTAATACCCAATAAATAACCAAACATAATAAGACTGTTTACTGCATACCTATGTTGTCAGTAATTGCATGTAAATGTTAAACAAAATGTAATGTGAGAGACATAATCTAGCATTAATTCATGTTTTAAAACAATGAACCTTTATTCTTCACACCACCGACCAATTTGCATTCCCAATCCATGGTTACATGATGCTGCTTGCTTGAGAGTTTGTTACTATTTTTTATTTGAAAATGTGTCAATCTGTACCATCATACAAATTAAAATCTTTGATTAAATATCAAAGACATAAGATCTTAAAAAAAAGTTCACCCAAACTGAAGCCATCTGAAAATAGTATTTGCTACTTGGAATTACAATTAACTGTAAATAATAAACCTGTTAAATCCAGCTGTAACCTATAATGTCATGAAATGTGCTATATCTGTATGGATGACTAGAAACAAGCAATTTCAACAAAATGCAATTAATGCATACATGGTGAATGTCAAGAAACACAAGGTACTGCATATGCAAGCTCCCAAACATTAAAATTCTTATGGTCAACATCTCCAAAACAATAACAACTTTATAGCCAAACTGCTGACTGGAGGATACACTGTAGGACAGGTCACACAAGGTTAGAAGGTTATGTAAACAGATAGGTATAATGTATCCCACCTCTGACACCCTGTGTAAACAGTTCACTGAGGCAACCTGCAATGATTGACCTGTTTAACAAATACCAGACATTCCTCTAGTAACAAAGTCCACCATCTGTAGCCACATGTCAAAGACAGCTGCCCAATTTTCCAAGAAAAAGTGAAACCTGTTGCATTTTCAGTTTAATGATTTCACAAGACAACCTTATTATTTATAATTTTATGTGTTTCCCTTTTTTGCTCTAACCAAAGGTCTGAGATGGTGCTTATGAAACAAGAATACTGCATGCTTTGTTGAAGTTACTGGCATTCCATTCTGACTGATTCAAGATCTTAAAAAAAAAAATGAGACACATGGCCATGGTTGAATTTGAATGTTTTTAACTATATGGCAAAGTAGAAATCTACATCAATGCAGTCATGTTCCCAAGATATCTCAATACAGTAAATTCATCATACAATGAAGTTTAAGGGAGCCCAAAAATTCATTTTATTATGTATGAATTCTGTTATAAATGAGTAGGAGTTACACTACAAACAAACCTGAACTTAACAAGTGCCCTGGGGACACCACAAAAGTGATCTTTGGATAGATGATCCTTAATAGGCAAGTGAGACTGGACTGACACAAGTGGATTTTTGAATGAAATAATAAAACAAGATAGACTGACAAAATGAAAGCAATTAGGTGCAATTTGTCAAAACTAATTAACCAGGTGAGATTATGTCTTTTAAAGTGAAGGTTATTAAATAAGATTGAGGACTTCTGAAGTAGGGTATTCACCATAAACTACAAGGTGTTAAGCAGGTGGGTTACCTATGCAGACCAACTATACAGGAAATTTCAAAGAATCTGAAAAAAATATAGTTGTCTTCACAAGCAGCTGTTCACTATACAGTAAAACCTGTCTTGAGAGACCACTGTTGAGACCACCTGTCTTGGGAGACCTGGTTCTCCTTGTACAGAATTTTTAATTATATAGTTATGACTTGCTATGAGAGAGCACCTGTCATGTGAGACCAATATCTTTTGGCAAAAGAGGTGGTCTTTCTAAACAGGTTCCACTGTATACACACAACTAGTTTAATTACCATACATAACACACCCAAGTGAACCATACAATGTACTTAAAAAGATACAACATTTTGTTACATATGAGCTGATGATACACAGTGCTTAATATATTTATCTCTTTGCACTGCCAGCCAGACCAAGTGAACAATAATAATTCAAAGACCAATGAGCAATGTTCTAACATAAAATCTTATCTGATGCAAGGATGAAAATGCCATGTGTATGATACTGCCAATATTTTGAGTTCTTCATCATCATAAGCCCTTTAATATTGATGTTCACAAGTGCTAATAAACATGCATTAGAAGTGATGGAACCATATTCTGTGGGATGTTACAACAATTCATAATACAGGTAAAACCATTGTAACTTGATGATTGAGGTCCCAAGAATAGTATCACAATATCATGCATTAGAACTGCATTTAACCTCACTAAGTGCTATTGGTAAAATGTTCTTAATTGTTAGATAATCAACAGAAGGGTCTCACTACCCAATTACAAAAGTCACAAAGTAATTGCATGATTATTGTTTAGAAATCCAGGGCCAATGCTAGTTGCATAAACAACTTTTCAATTAGAGGAAATGCATATATAGTTTTCAATGTGGTGGGAACACTAGAGAGGCAAGACTAAGAAATCTATACTAAATGCATATGTAAAGAGTCCTTTTTATACCCAAAAAGTGGACATTACTTTTGGGGTGGGACTATGAACAGTTTATCAGTCATAACCCAGAGTCAGTGTGAAAGGGGAGGAGAAGGGACAGGGGCAAATGACAGTTAAATACTGGTAAATGACTTATCTTAATGATTGCAAAGATATAACCAGGGCTAGACATAAAAAGAAATAAGGACAAAAAAGCTTAATACAAAGTTAACACAAAGACAGTTTTTCCACCATTGTCCCTAAACACTGATATAATTCCAACACAAGGCAAAGATGTGACAATCAAAGGTGAATTGATTGACTGATTAATTAGTGTTTAATAGCACTTCAGCATATGAAGGAACCTTTGGTGCTGGAGTAAGGTACCTTGCCTTATTAGGAGGCACAGTGGCAATTTAGATGGGGTTGATCCTGCAGGATTGGAACCAAGGCTCCAAATGGACAGATGAACAAAGATAACACTATATAATGCAATCACATCTGCCACAGAGTCAATGTATGCAATGCTATGTTTTCCTTCCATCCATTTTTCTCACTCGGCCTTGGAAGAGTTTTTTGGAATCCCCCCCACAGAAGAACAAAGAAGAACAAAGAAAAAAGGCAAGAAGAACAAAGGAGCCAGGAGTTTTTACTATTATATACAACAATAGTAAAAGTGGAATTTAACTACAAAAGAAGAAAAGAAAGACTGTTGCTGATACAGTATTTACTGAAATACTGTTCCTCCATTGTTGTTTTTACAACAGTGGGGAAGTGAAAAGATTGTTAATATCAATTTGCCATACTTTGGGCTCAAATTTGGCTATTCTGAGCCCTCATTGGGAATAAAACCTAAACCGGTGGCCCTGAAAGGAATGATTGGTTTTAAATAATTTTTCAAACTATCCCTAAAATACCAAATTAAGATCTCAAACTTGAAAAGGGTACCTGATACCCAAAAAATTTGACATACTTTTCGGTAACAAAAAGTATGCATAGTACACTAAAACAAATAAAACCTAAAACATATTAGGAAAATGTATGTGGCCTACACATGTTTGGCAGATAGTTAGGGACCCCCACCCACACCAGACAACGGGGAAACACTTGATCACTTAATCACAACATTTATTTGCTGCTGGTTGGGGAGTACACAACATCTATGGATGTGCTTGGTTACTGGAACTAGGAGGAGAAGGAGGACAGATGGAAGGAAATATCAACATGGAGGGAAACTTCCACCCAAAAGAGTTACATTATGTAATGCCAAAGAAAAGATTATGACTTTCGTTCAACTTCTAGTGTGGATGTGGACCTGGGGTATAAACTACAATCCTACGGACCTTGGCTTTCGGTGGTGGTGTTCAAGGTACTGCACTTTCCTTTGCCTTTTTCTGTGGCTAGCGTGGCAGCGTTCTGGATTGTTTCAGTGTAGAATGGTAAATTCAAAGTTCTTAAGGTCTCGAAAAAGGCCAAACTCCATGGCCAAAAGCCCAGCACAAGGGCTAACTGCCTCCCTGGATAGCAATGCCACTGAAAAGTGACATCCAGCTATGGCAGTAAGCCATCCAGAGGGGTTATAAAGACCCATGCATCGGGGCAAAAAATGTATCCAAGCATTGGGACATTGGAGAGCTCTGCCATCGAAGGGGGGGGCCTCTAGTCCTTTTCGGGGCTTTAACCAGTCATAAAGCATGAAAGTGCATACATGACTATAAGAGTCCACAGAGTCAACATTCAATTTGCACTCAATGATATGCTGAAGTGGTATATTTTGAAGGCATTTCATAAGGTGTGAGCTAATGTCAGTACAAATTATCAAAATTTCACATTATCAAAAATAATTATTACAGAATGATAACAGAAGTATAAGAAACATTTCAAACAGTATTTACACAGGTGGGCCACAAATACACATGTGTGTGTGTGTCTGTGTGTGTGTGTGTGTTCTGCATTTGTGCTTTCTGGGCACAGCAAAGTAAGATGGTTATTTATTGTGCAAACAACTGGAGAGAAGTGCCTTGCCCAAGGACACAACAAGGCACCTGACCAAGGCTGGGTAGGTTTTTTAACAGAACCACTTCAGTCTTACCAGCAAACATATGATGCAGAAACCCAATTGGTTGACTACCTTCTGTGATACCTAAAAAAATGTTGTACTGCATATGTATGTATAAATATGTATATGTATTAAAGTTATAAAATCGCAAATATATAGACCTGCACATTAAGATAACCATTTCAATAAACCCAAATATAAAGACCTACACAGGAAGATAATCATTCCAAATAAACCCAAATATAAAGACATGCTCATGAAAATAACTACTCCAAATAAACCCAAATATAAAGACCTACACAGGAAGATAATTATTCCAAATAAACCCAAATATAAACACATGCTCATGAAAATAACTACTCCAAATAAACCCAAATATAAAGACCTACACAGGAAGATAATCATTCCAAATAAACCCAAATATAAACACATGCTCATGAAAATAACTACTCCAAATAAACCCAAATATAAAGACATAAACATGAAAATAACTACTCCAAATAAACCCAAATATAAAGACCTACACAGGAAGATAATCATTCCAAATAA